CCAACAAAAAAAAAAAAAAAAAAAAATAAAAAAATAAAGGAAGAAAAAAAAACAAAAAAAAAAAAAAAAAAAAAAAAAAAAAAAAAAGATACTTATCTAGACAACCCAGCAACACGACGCAACACCAGCGAGTTCTAGCAAAAAGAGCACAAGCAAGCACCAAAAGGCGAAGCAACAGTAAATCGAGCCCCAGTAAAAGCAAAGTTCTAGCAAAAGAGCAAAGCAAAGCACCAAAAAAGTAAAATATCAAAAAGGCAAGGCAGCAGCAATCGAAGCACCAATAAAGTGAAGTCCTAGCAAAAGAGCAAAGCAAAGCACCAAAAAAGTAAAATATCACAAAGACAAGGCAGCAGCAAGCGATGCACCAAAAAGCAAAGTTTTAGCAAAAGAGCAAATACTAGAAACCAGTACCAGTAAAAGCGAAGTTCTAGCAAAGTACCAGAAAAGCAAAGCACCATTTAATATTACCAGTGAAAACGATAACACAAGAGAATTGAAAGCATTAACAAACAATGACACGTCACCTGCAGAATGAACATAAACATCATGATACCGGCTAAACTGAACATAATAAACAATATCAATTACAACAAATTACGGCACCTACAATGCAGACCAGCAAGAACGAAATGATGATAATTACGATACCAACGATGAGGCAATACTATAAAGAAGAAAAAAAAAAAGCTTAGTAAAAAAAAAAATTGCAAAATCAATATAAAAAAATACTTATGCATGGTCAATCCATGTAACTGGGATTTTCTCTTGGTTAAATTTTATTTTTATATTATAAAAGATAGCACCATAGTGCTATAGCACTAAAATGCTATAGTACTATAACAATATTCTCTTACTCTTTAATCATACTATATATATTAAATCAATAGTGTATAAGTATAAATTTTATTTATAAAAATTAATAAATATATTTTATTATTAATAATTAATTATACTTTTATCTATTATTTGTTATTTACTTTTTTGTCATATTATATATATTAAATTAACAGTTAGTTACAGTAAGTGTAGAATTTTATTTATAAAAATTGATCAAAAAATATATTTATTTATTAATTATTTTTTATTTATTATTTGTTATTTATTCTTTTATCATACTATATAGATTAAATTAATAGTATATAAATATAAAATTTATTTATAAAACTTGATTATATTTTATTATTAATAACCAATTAAAATATATTTAACTATTAATTATTCTTTTATCTGTTATTTGTTTTTTTTTGGTTTTAAGGTGAGGCCTTACTCATATCTTTATTAGTAAAAATTTTTTAATAGTAACAGTGTAGATTG